AAGTTTATAGAGACATGTCTGTTTTTATATTTCCTGTGATACTTTTAAAGCTGGACATACATGCCCTGGCTCCACTGGTTGGTATCTCCTTTGCTTACAAAAGCTCAGAAATAATATCTAGAATTATATATTCAAGCAGAGACAGGAGATGGCTGCCTTGCCTGGTGTGAAAGTCCACACTGATTGAGATGAGACCTGACTCCCCTGCCCTGTAACAAAAAGTTAGCAGAAGGCAACATGGGAAAATACTCACTGCAAACTTCTCATATGCGCACAATTTATTGTAAAATTGTTGTCAAGCTTTATAAACATGGAATTCAGCCCTGTTACATCTAAGTCTTGCATAAAATGCTTGCAAAAGACTCATGTAGTCTTCAGGGGGAAGGCTGTATACATTATAAATGGTTAATGCTTCATAGGATAGAAATTCAGTGAAGCAGGAAAATGCTTGTTTGATTACTTTTTTTTTTTTTTTTTTTTTTTTTTTTTTTTTTTTTTTAAGTCTGTTAGGCTCTGAAAGCTCACCTCTACTGAGTAGTGAGGAAACTGCAGTTTACTGAACCAGAACCTGTTTCAGACCTTGAATAATCAGGTTCAGTGCCACCAGGGTTTGGGATGCCTTTTACCTTAGCTGAGCAGGTGGCTCGAGTCTTGAACCTTAAGATATTTTTCCAGACCAGTGACTCACTAAAACAATAAGGAGACCTGTAATATTGATTGGATTAAGAAAGTGTCAGATAACCTTTCACCCCTATCTGATCAGCTTTCTGCATCCAAATATGAAAATAAGAGCATTAAACACTAAGCCTTTCCAACCATGTTCTGGAGAGCATGGATGCACTAAAGAGGCTTTTTGTATCACAGGAAACAGCTGTGTTTGAGGCCTGGAATTAAGCATCATTTGGGAATATCTGAATCCAGGACATAGATTTTTATTGCATGCCAGTGTACAGAGATCTGATTTTCTGATTCAGATGAGGAGAAAGGCTCCATTTTTTTTTCTCTTAACTCAGAAATGCATAAACCAAAACCATGGAACTTGTTTCTCTGATTTATGTTTCATTTTAGTTTTTCAAGGTATGCAAAGAAGCTGAAATTAATTGGAAAATTTAGTCAGGCAAAAGAAGTCTAAGTGCCTGTACAGTTTATGGGTCAGATTCATACTGAAGCTACAAGTCTTTTACTAAAACCATTCAAAGTATATCTATATACATATACATAAAATATCTCACTTTTTAAAGAAGTTGGCCATCTAAGTGAGTCAACAGGCATGGGACAGACTGGACTTTGGTTCAACAGGAATCCTTTTGGCATAACACAAGTTCAGTAGTTTGTAGGGAAGAGCAAAGTGTATCCATAACTATGTGGCCAAGGAAGGCAATGAGCAATGATTTGGGTTGGAAGGGACCTTAAAGATCATCTAATTCCACTACCCCTGCCTTGGACAGGGACACCTTCCACTAGATCAGGTTGCTTACAGCCCCAGATAGAAAAAAGGATTGAAGTTAGTCCCCTGGGAAGGCTGGAAATCTCCATCATTGCAGCTACTAAAGAACTGCTTACACTACTATCAAAAATATTTTGCATGGTGTTGATTCTTGTTTCTTGAATCTGGCAGTTGAGGTAGTCATCTAGAGGTCTCTTTTGGTTCTATTTTCTATATTTTTCATAATTCTCTTATAGAAAACTACTTTATTTCTGGTAAATAAATGTGAGTGATTCTGTGAGTGCATGTGCAGAGGCAGAGTAACATGAAGAGTGTGAACACAATGACAATAGTGTTAATTATTTAAAATTAAGAATGGAAGAAAAAGTAAAGCATGCCTCAGGAGGATCAAATTAAACTGTGTCATCACAAAAATAAAATAAAATAAGTATATATATATGTATATATAAATATATATATATTATTTTATATGCATATATTTTTTTAATTTTATTATATATATATATTTAATTATATTATATATGTGTATATATATATATTTATAGCATCCTGCATCACAAAATACAGGTGAGAAGAAGTACAGGAACACCATAGCTAATAGAAAGGGATTAAAAGCCATGTAAAACTCCTGCTTTCACTCTATGTGCTGGAAATGACTGCGATGAGAAGGGCAGAAACAACTCTGTGCCAGAGCTGTATGTATTCGTTTGTGAGTGAGAACACCCACAGCTGCAGTTCTTGCTGACATGTGGGGGCTAAAGGTGTGTATTTATGTTCTGGTTTCAGCCCATCATGTAGCTTGGTAAACCTGCCTAGTGTTGAGGAAACAGTTTTCAGAGCAGCGCAGAGCCTAAGCTGTGCTACTGCTGAAGCCACCTCACCCACACGAAAGGTTTACATCTGTACTGCAGTGGCACTGGGAAATGAGGAGCATGTAACAGGTCCTACCTGGCACTCTCCCAGGTGGCGTACAGGAGGATGTAATGTGTCCTTGTACTTTTGGTCTATTACTTAATTTGCTTCCATCAACCCTGGTGTAGCCGGAAAGCCACCCATTGCATCACCCACCCGTGCTGCATGCTCACGCAGCGCCTGGCTGCCGTAGCTGCATCTGCAGAGACCCCTTGTGGAGATGCAGCATATACCAGGAGGAGAATTTTCTGTTTCCTCTCTTTTACATCCTCTTTCCTCTCTTCTTTTTTCTCTCTTTTCTCCTTTCCTCTCTTCACCTTTCCCAAATTGTGTTTCTTGTTAGCTGTATCAATTATCCTGTGACCTCAGTGAATACTAGCTCCAGACAGTAATATAGTATATGCAACAGGTTTTTAGGATGTTTTTCCAAACTCCTGCCCCAAGTCATGAATTTATCCATCTTTTCTTCCCCATATCCTTCTTTCTTATAACACCACAGTGCTGTTTTATGGGGTCAGGGTTCCCCGCAATGTAAGTATGAACATATTCTTTTTTTTTTTTTTTTTTAATTATTATTTATTTAGTTGTTTAATTGTTCTTGAAAAACATGCTTACTTAAATCTAAGGGAGAGACAAGCAAGGCTAATTGTTTTGATGAAAATTTCAGGCCCCATCTTTACTGCCTGAAGTTTGTTTGTGTCTGAGGATGATATAAATCTAAACTACATCAGCACAATAATGCCTTTTGCCAGCCATGGACCAGTGCTCTCCATGTGCTTTTCCATCACTATGTGTTGTGTCCTATGCCCACTTTGCATGAGTATATACAAGCCTGGATCTTGGCGAATCTGCCCTTCTTTGTTGCAAATGTTAACATGTTACTCCACTAGGTTAAAAGTAAAATAAATCTTTTCAGTGCAGCTGTTACAAGCCTGATGTGTGCAGGTGCTTCTGGCAAAGATTCACATGTGAAACCTCCAGAGCACACAAGTCTCCTACATACAGCTAAAGGGTATAAAGGATAATTTCCTTAGCTCCTTTCCAGCTAAGGAAATTACACCTGATATCACTGAATATGTTTTCCTGCTTACCTTTGAACTCATGGGCCAGCTTTGATGAAATGAAAATAGAAGGGTTATCTTAAAGATACTGATTTTTTACCTGTTTAGATAGTACAAACAGTGATAAAGAGTATATGAAATCTCTTTCAAGATGTGAATCCACAGGCAACACAACTTCAATAGTTCTGCCAAATGATAGGAATTGCTCTGTTGGTGTTATATCTGTTCTTCATGGAGGAAATAGTTTTTACCCTAACTACTTACTTTTGGTAACAAAAATAAAAATAAACTCTCATTGTAAACTTTGTATACATTCTTTTCTCCCCTCTATGGGGATTCAAAATATATGCTTAAAATGTTTCCAGAGGAGTTTCTAGATAGATTTTCATGAAGCTGTTGCAGATGGTCTAGATCTTCAAGTTTTCTTGGAACATGAGGAACTGTCATCATCAACCAATGACTTCACAAAATATGTGAGACAGTGTTGTGAGAGGAGGTAGAAATAGTGTTTTGTTTGTGTTTGATTTTGTTTTTCATTTTTTTATTCACTTTCTTAATCTTGTTCTGAATGCTCTGTCTGGTAACAGTGCAGTTGAAGGATATGGGAGCTGTGAAAACTGAGCAAATCTCAATGGCTGCCTTTATACTTCTGAAAAAATAAATAAATAGAGTCGATGTGACTGAGTGTACAACCCAAAAGTGTTGCACAGGAAGAGAAATATCTCTTCTGAACAGTAAAAAGTATCTTAGTAAAAGGCAATCTGAAAATCTACTTCTGCCTCTCTCCCACCACTGCAATAACTGCACATTTTCATTTCCTTCTTTTTCACTCTTGGCTTGAAACTGAAGAAGAAGGTCTTGCCTGGGATTTACTGGCAATTGTAAGAGGTGAAAGTGTTTTAATTAGCTATTAAAATGCACATGAATGTCAGGGCTCTAGAGGATGTGTTCCTGTGATGTGTTAATTCATTTTTAATGTGGACAATTAAGTGGTGTCTTTTTCTTTTTTTTTTTTTTTTTTTTTTTTTTTTTTTTTTTTTTTAAGAGGTCTATGGAGCACTGCCTAATGATTTGGCAGGATCTCCTTGGTCATCATATAGTTTCACCTTTCATGTTGCTAGACCCTTTTGACAGGGCCAAAGCTGAACAATGGAAGTTACAGATGCATTGCTGTCAAGTACTCTCATCATGCAAAGTTCCTGGTTTTTGTCCCAGTATTACTACCTGTGTATTTCAGGCCAGGTAATGAGAGCTTCTGACCTAGGCACTCAGGTGCAACTGATTGTAAGTGATAAGGAAGAAGTGAAAAGATCAATCCAGGCCTTTCAGAGGTGTCAGTAGCAGCCAGAGAAAGATTAATATTGATTCTAACATTTAGCCTTTTCTTTAAGTGTTTCTTATGACTGCTCATCCCAGAGAGTGGATCTCTATAAAAGTTATATCTGTTTATGATAATGATTTAAGTAACTGCGCAAGATACTTGGCACTTCTGCAAGATCACGCACCTCTGCTATCAAGGTGGGCTACTTCAACTTTTTTTTTTTTTTCTCCCTTTGTTAGAGGGCTTCGGGAGTGATCCCTATAAAACAGCTGAGCATCTTTTGTTGCATTTGTACTCCAGTGAAGTTGAGACTCCTGCATAGACCACTGAGAGCCATAGGCAAAGTCTGTCCTTAGGTGAACCTACTCCAGTTGATGCTGCAAGCAGTTCTTTCCATATGAAAGTAGCTCTTTGGAACAGAGAAACAATATGCCTTCAAGAACTAGATACGGCAACTCATAAACGAATAATATAACTTTGACTGATGCTCATTGTTACCCTAAGAGAATGACTGGGTGGCTTTACAGCATAAACTGTTTGATTAGGTTTGTATCCTTTTGTGCTATTTGAAATTTCTTTACACTTCACTGTTGCAAGAGAAATGCTCTAAAATATTTCAGTAGCATGAAAAGTAAAGCATAACGTGCAGAGCTTATAATAATGAAACCCAATGCTACAGCATTATTGGTTTGATTATTAGATTTGTTCTATTTTACCTTGTGTCCTGTTCCTTCTGCCAGTGATGCAGTTATGGCCAAATGTCAATATTAATATTGTTTCGTCCGAGGTGATATAATTGTGCAACAGGATTAGAAAGTTGTCAATAGAACTGAAATTTGCACTCTCGTTCACATCCATGAAAACCTCAGAGATTTAATTCTCATATCACATGTGATTCTATTGATTGAAGTCTACAGGAGTCAAAGAGTAATCTGCAATTTGTGTCTCCTGTGCCTACATTAGAGGCCTGTGCATTGCAAAAACGATAGTAGGGGGTAAATAAATACAGCGGCTGGTGGCAAAATCATGAGATTCTTCTCAGAGTTTCTTGTTTTGTTGTATTATATTTATTTTTTATTTTCCTAACTTTTATCACCTCGTGTTCTGAAACTAGGAGATATCAATCATTTCCAGGTGGGTAATCTTTCTGATTCTTTTGGAACCATAAATGGTATGGTAATAAAACGGTGCATTTAGATTGGCCTTCTGTGAAGAATTATGTCAGGCAAGAAAATTCTTTTATTCCTCAACAAAAAGACTGAGTTACCCTCTGAGCCTTTAAATCTTATCTTTGCTCTAGCAAAGATGTGGACCATAAAAGTTTTGATTCCTGTAGCTCTAATTGCTCATGCTGAGTTCTCACCCCATCTCACATGTTTAAGTTGAGTCAGAAAGAGTCTATTCCTTGTAATGGAGGGACTGAACAGAAAATTTAGGTGATTCAGAAGATGTTTCTATTCTATCAAGCTAACATCCTTGCCTGCAGAACTGGAGGCCTCTGCTGAAAAAGGTATGTTTATATGATAGATTGGTGTGATACAAAATTCATGCTTACTTCCAACCATGATAATCTCCATCCCCTATCTTCCTTTCAAACTAGACCATTTCATTTGTGGTAATGGTAGAACTTTAGTTTTCTTTCCCCTTCCATTTTAGTAGTATATCAGTCCTGCTACTATTTACATATATTTTACTATTTAGCTCCCCCACAGCAATAGCAAAATTTCTGCTTCAGTTAGTGTTTTGTGTATTGCCAGATACTGATCTATCAATATCTCAGTGAATAATGTGACTGAATCTGTTATTTCTTTCAGCCTTCTGCTTCTTTTGTACCTTATTGTCTTACTCTGAAAGTGATTTGAAGGAAGGAAATGGAAAAGTTTTTCTTTTTTTCCTTTTTTAATGAAAAACTACCGTGTGGCTCTTAATTTGTTTAAAACAATAATAATGCAAGACAGAGAAAAAGTGTGGAACTGGAAGGAAGTGATATTTATTTCTCACAGTCCTCAGTTCATTATGCAGTCTTGGGACAGGACCAAAATTATTTTTTCTTTTTTTTTTTCCTAAATAAAACCACAACCTCATTTCACTTCTACGAAAATGCATTTTTTTTCAGTTTCCAGATTTTAAAAGTGTAGAGCTCTTGGAGTTCATGGAGGTCTTGGCCTTTCTGCTTCATATTGTTATTTCTTTGAGTGGGCAAGGAAGAATGAAATGGAAAAACTGGACTCTATGCCTTGCTAGTGATGTTCTGGTCTTGGGACAGGGTGGATTTAGACGGGGTTCTCAAAGCTTTGAACTGAATATTCCTGTCTCCTCAAAATCAGAGAGATCTGGCCTGGGGCTAGGAACATGTATAAGCTCTGTAACTTCTTTAGAAATAGCTTTCATTACCTCAGTGAAGAGACGCAATATGAATGTATAACCAATGATGAATATTTAACAAACTACATTCCAAGACTGGAAGGATAATCAAATCTTTCCATATATTTTGCTGTATCCTTAGCCTTAACTCAAAAGTAAATAACTCCAGAACATATTTTTTGTGATGAGTTTCAGTATGTTGTTTTCTTTATTTTCTTTATATTCTGAGTGAGAACTTCTTGAAAACTTACTGTCATGACATTCTACAAGGCTCTCCTAGCTTATCTTATTTAATGCTGATCCATCAAGGTCGCCACATAAACATAATGTTGTAAATGAAGTAGTCAAGGCAAAGAAGATCAGCGTCAGACTTTGACATACATGATATGCTTTTCTGATCATCTCTCTTTTATGGAGATCAAAGGCTGAAATATACTGCCAGATTACCAAGGATTTTTTTTTTTATCATTATTATTTTATTTATTTATTTTAACTTTCCCCCCAAGATATCAGCAGAAAAGAAAAAGTTTCTTTAAAATGGCTATAAAATTAATTCGGATTTTTTGTTTTGTGTGTGTGTTTGTAGTTTGGATATCTCGTTATAAAGTGTTAATGCAGGTATTCCAAGGCATAGAGAATGTTCAACAAAAAGAGATTTGGTTATCTGTATCAAAACATTTCTTCCCTATGTAGGAGAGAGAGCTGCAATGAGACACTGCAAGAATTGTGCAGCAAGATGAATTCTGTAACCCCCAACATTTCAGTATTTGCTGGCTCACGTTTTTACTTTTTATTTTTATTTAATTAGGGATATGAATGCTATTTTTTTGCCAGCATGTTGACCAGTCACACCTTATTCACATCAGACTGGAACTTGCATAATGAACTCTCACCTTTTACTACCTAGTGTGCTTATAATCCAGTTTCTTTGTTTCTCTGGGAAGAAGAAACACAACTGGTCAGCCTGACCTGTGATCCAGTGACCAGCTCTGAGGAGGAGGTGTGGGTAAGAGTGATGGTGAGACACCTTGGGTACCTATCTGATCAAAAGATGACCTGCAAGGTCAGTCCAGCCACTATCCTGTAACCTGACATTACAACTGCTGGCTTGTTGCAACATCTAGAAGTTTCTCTTTTCAAAGCTCTGACATATTGGAAAGAAATATACTTGAAAAATTTGCTTACATCTACGCTAGTAAATGTAATAGATTTCTTGCAGTGATATATGCAATAAAATTGCATATTGTGAATGTAATGGCAAGAAATTCTGCATATATAATGGTAAGAAAATCTTTTCAGCAGTACAGCTCAGAGAGGTGTTATTCTTTGTTTCCATAACAGAACATCTGAGCTGAGTTAGCTTTCAGTTCTTGTTTTCTTTTCTAGGATAAATTTCAACCATGCTGAGAGATCTTTTAGTATTGCATTCTTTGGAAACACTTAAGTTCAGATAAGACCTTGGAGATGCATCAAAACTGAAAACTGTGAAATGTACAGCTTGTCATGAAATCAGATAAATCATAATAATACACGCAATTTAAATAATGTCTGAAATGTTCAAAACCCTGCACAGACATTAACCCATTAAATGGGACAATGGATACAAATTCCACAGCTTTGATTTGTAGAACTTGAAGCCACACTTAGTTTAATTCTAAACAGACTAGAATTTCACTTGCACTGTACAAGATGCAAACAAGACATGATTATGTGTGAGAAATATGATCAAGTATTGGTAGACTCTGAGAAGGAAAATTGGAGCAATTAAATCCATATTTATTTATTTACATATTCACCCATAAAAGTTTGGGGTTCACAACATAAAATCATAGAATTCTCCCCACTCACTTGCCATGACTGATCCACAGGAAGAAGTCACAGCATTAAGTTCTTGGACCATCAAGAGCTGGTTTTGAGGAGAGAGGTTGGTTCTTTGGTTTGTGTTTTAAGTTCAGGCAGCTGAAAATTACTTTTGAAAATCAAAATTCCAAAATGAGATCCCAGGGACTGCTTTTACGGGGGGGGGGGGAGGAGGAGGAGGAAGGAGAGGAGGGAAGTCTCAGGTGAGTCATCTCTCTTAATTGCCTATGTTCCCAGTACAGTTATCTCCATCTGAACTAGTCTCCCTAGACTCACTAGTTGTCAATGAAATGAAATAATGTCTTCTTTGCACTCTTGTGCAGCCTCATCTGACTGCTTTGAAATATTTATTTATTTCAAAGAGCTTTGCTTTAGGAGACTCATTGGCTTATCAACTAAGTGTATCTTGGAGGAAAAGTTCAGACAAATGTCTACTTATCAAGCATTGGTGCTATATGATGTGAATCCCATCTGCTTACCAGCAATATGAAGGTTCTTCCCTAATTCCAGTGAGACCCTAATATGAGGTAAACAGCACGAAAGCAATCTGTCTTTCACTCAGTTTTAGGCCTGTCATATGAAAACTCCAACAAGGCTTCCTTTCCATATTGTTTATAAACCTGACTTGATTACCAGAACAGAACAGCAGTTTCTTCTGTTGAAAAGTTGTCTACTGTTTGAGAAAACTAAGAAAAGTATCATAAGAGTTCTTGTAGTGCCAGAGATATTGCTGAAAGGGTAAGTGGGATCCTGCTGGATGGTGCTTGTAGCCATGGACTGACCTTTCCTACCCTGGGAGCTGTTGCACACTGAGACCTGGGGAATGTAGCGATGAACCTCAGGTCTATTCCTGTCCCTGCTGATTTGAGCTCTGTTGAATGACCTGGGGCAAGACATGTTCTCTTGATTTGTCTGAGACAGTGGAGCACGTCTGGTTTGTGACTGCTGCAAAGCAAGTTATGGTAAAGCTGACCAAGAGGGGGTGAGAGAGACATGGATGAAAACATGGATGGGTGCTTGGGGGTGGGATGATGGACATGGGAAGAGGGAACAAAACTGAAGGATAGTCAAACTGAAAGGCTGATTGCTTCTGGCAAGAAATCAGCAGAGCAAATAGAAACAAGTCTGCTTCTCATTGCAAATCTACTGCCTGCTTTCTCCAACTAGTCTATAGGCTCTTCACATCTCCTGGTCTCACACATGCACTATCAAAAATTCAGTGAATAGATGCATCTGCTGTTTCTCAAACCTCATTATCTTATTTGTTATAATTTTTAGTATTAATCTAGTGACCACCTGTTTCCTGAGGAAAAAATAGTCGTCATACACAGAGCATCTTGTGATAGATGTCCCTAGAAATTTTCATTTTCATACAACTTAATTCTTCAACATTTGATTCTTCCTTCCATTTCTTCTCTCTGTGCCTGTAGGCCCACTATGCATGGACACATGGCTCCTGTGACAGCCTGATGTATTAATCATGCAATCATCCCATGAATTTCTTACAACTTGACAGGCTGCTGGTGGTTCAGAGACTTAGCCGAGAGAATCCCTAAATAAGCTTCTAATACAAATAAATGACAGCCATTGACCCCTAAGGACGTTGACAACATGGCTTGACCCTAAATGGCAGGAAGACATGGCAATCTGTCTTTGTCCTATCAGGGTATATTTTTTTTTTCTTGCCCTATTATTTTCTCTAGTTGAGAAATCTCAGGAGTATTGGATTTTTAAAGAGATTTGAATGTTCATATGGAGATCAGACTCTGGATGCATCTTTCTTTGGCATCTTTGGCATATTAGGAATATAGCATCAAAAAGCAAAACAATCCTAAAAGGACTATTAGCACATTGTCTCACCAGAAGTTTCCCACTGTATTTTATTTAAAAAGCAAAGCATTTATTGGAAAAGACAAGCACTGATCCCTACCAACATCACATGTTTCTGGAAGCAAAATTTTCTTATTAAGCTGGTTATGACAATTTTACAACTGGAAAACAGCTTCTCTTGTATGACAGTTTTGGTTAACATAGACACAGTCAGAAAACTTTGGATTTCTCTTGTGCCTGATGAACTAAGTTAGTATCACAGTAAGAGTTGTTTGAAGGAGACAGGAAAAATCAAAGTCTTTGTGTTTGTTCAAAGTATACAACTGCAAGTATATTTTTCTGTGAGTCTGCAACATGAAGAACATTGTGTTGCCATGAAAAACAGAAAAAAATATAAATACCAAATGTTGATATCATTCCTGCTGAAGAGAGAGAGAGAGTATATATGTGCTTCATGGTTTTTATTTTCTTTTTCTTTCTTCTCCTCCCTCCCCCCCCCCCCCTCCCTCTTCTCCTGCATAGCTCAGGGTGGGAGGACAGGATCCATCTACGTGCTCATCTTGTCTGGAAACTGCTTTTCATTTTCTTTTGCCTGCTTGAAGAATAAACTCCTTTAACTGTCTTTGTTTCCTGAATTGCTTTCAGCGGTTGATAAGAAGTCCCCTAATCTCTTGTTTTAAAAGCACTCAACGCTGCCCATAAGCAATATGATTCCTCTGAAGTTCTGTCGTCTCAAGTAGTTTCATATCTCTTAACATCAGTGAAAGAAAAGAGTTATCTGTATTATGTTCATACAGATGACTTAAACTGAAAGTTCTGGCTATAGGGCACAACAGCTCAGATACCACAAGATGCATCTGTTTTTCTGGGCTTGTTTTGCTTTGAAGGAATAGCAGCTTTGTGATCATTTTAATACTTGCTTTTATTTGTTCCTGCAGGCAGCAGAAGAATGTGGCAGTGGGGAATACAAAGCCTGGTTCCCCTTGTTGCAATAAATCGTTTATGATCACTGCTGTGGAGGAAGGATTGTTCCCTCACATTTACCACAGACACGGGAAAGATGGCGGAGAAAGGCAATTTATACATTGATTTGCTCCCCATTTCTGCTGATGATTCAATGTTACTTTGGGCAGATCCCATGGAGACTGTTCTGAAGTTTGCTCCTGGTGCGTCATAGCTGCTGCCTCTGGCCTTCCTGCCATCCTTTCTGTCTGCCCAGCAATACTACCAATGGCACTGAAGGGAATGGGTGGTGTTACTTCTGGGATGGGCCCTTGCTAGAAGTGGGGTGGAAAGGCTGAAAGTGAGGAAAGGAAGCCTTTTAGCTGAGATGTGTACAGAGGACTAGAGTGTTTTCCAGGTACCAATGCTATAAACCCTCCAGATCAGATAAAGTTGTGGCTTTTTTTTTTTTTTTTTTTTTCCTCCATGGAGTGAAAGGGACAGTAAATTTGCAGTTGTTCTTTTTCTTTCCCTTTTGCTTATCAGCCTAGAAAGTCTGCTGTGTTGCTGTTTGCTTTAATAGTCACTGTTGTTTTGAATATCTAGCCTCCTTCATAATGAGGAAATCTGACCCTCAGGTTTTTGGAGACTAGCTCTCTGTGTATATATCCATAACTAGGTTCATTTGATCTATGTGTTCCTTCCTTAAGTCTTTAACTGCTGGCTATTGATCTGTGGTCTACCTGTGTTTAAAACTAAAGCAATCAAAAACCAACCAACCAACCAACCAACAACAACAACAACAACAAAAACACTCGCTACTGTGAAATGTGTCCTCAGTCTTGGTCCCCAGATTTTTGAGCCAGGGATGTGATTCTGCAGACCCATCAACCATTTCTTTAGCTTTGAAGATGCTGAAATGGTCCCTGGCTTCAAAAGAACTAGTTCCCTGCCTGTCACTAAAAATCATTGCTTAGGGCTAAAATCTCATTTTCTTTTCTGTTACATGAACAACCAGAGGCTCAGCCTGCCTTCTCTGTTGAGTTTGGTGCTGCCTAGTCTTAACATTTTCAGTACTCAGTAGCATACCCCACTCTTGTATTTTGAGAAGGATTGCACTCCCCTTACATCATATGGGAATCCCATTTTTCTGTCTCAAGGGTGGATGGTGTAAGGCACTTAGACATCATTGCAGATTGTCTTTGTTGTCCATTGCCATGTAAATTAAGTCCATTCATGTACTTTCTACTGTTTCTTTTTCCTTTTCATTTGTTGTCTGGTTTCTACCAAATAATACATATTTGGTGAAATTCCTTAAAACAGCATTACTTTTTAATTAACAACTTTTTTTTTTTTCTTTTTCTCTCTAGGTCTGCCAGTAGCTGACAAAGTAGAAAGGTGTGCTTTTCTCTCTTTCCTGTATAGATTTAGAGGCATTGCCAATTTAATCCGCGACTGAGGCTCTGCAATGGTGCAAGTCTATCCTACTACTTCAAATTCAATGATGCAACCTGAGTTTACGCTAATTAACTTTCAGGGATTGAACCAATGTAAAGCTTTAGGACTCTGACACTTCTTTGAAAACATTCCCACAGATTGATTTTCTTCATTTACATTTGTTTGCTATCTCCGTCTCATTCAAAGCAGTCAGGCCTGGTTTGCTTCTCTCTTCTCTGGAAAAGTTCTCTGAAGTAGGAACTATTGTTAGAATCAGAATCCTGATCTAAGAGTATTGTAAGAAATGCTCCAGCAATTTCTGTCAATAGAGGGCTTGAAGGGTAAGCCCTGAGTCTCTGATATCTGGGGATAAGAGAACAAAGGGGTCTCAGAATAACTGCTAACTATTGTGACTATTGCATTGGACACCAGGCAAGTCTCTGATATCCAGCCAAGATGGACAAAGGACAAGGACAAAGCCTGGGAGGAAGACTATGAGCCTTCAGCATGAGAAACCCCCAGAGGGACTACCGGGGACTGATACGTATGCGCCAGTGGGAGGGTTTGGAGTCCGGGAACTAATTATAATAACCCTGCCTTTTCTAGAAGTAGTAATGAATATGTATTAGACTAGAAGCATAAAAAGCAGCCACCTGATGTAACGTGTGTGCGTGTTGGAGGAGCCCAGGCTCCCTGCACACCCAGCGCTCTTTACTTGCCTTTTATTAATCCCATAAATAAATCTTATAAAGCTAAGTTGACTTGGAATTTGTAACAGCATGATGAAAAATGTTGCACTCCAAGTTGGAAACTGGAGAGGAAAATGTACATGTATACGTGAGAACTGTACTCAAACATCTGATTACACCTTTTCTTACACCTTAATAGAGGTTTACACCTTTTAAGGGAAAACTTTAAACCTGAGAAGCAACAGACTGTTTTCTACGTTTCCTGATATGATATCATGATACAGTCCACTGCAGGCTGAAAAGTAGCCTGTGTCTCAGGTACCGTTTTATGCCTTTGCTTTTGTTACTACATGCTTGTAAGTCTTCAAAAGGGAAATGAAATTATCCTACCCAGAAGAAGCACTGTCCAGAAGACACTTGAATTGTTAGGGCCTGAATTCTCACTGAAACCAAAGGCAGGGATCTTACTGACCTGAAGAAAGGGGCTTTAATCTCTCCTGGCTTGTTTACTCATGAAGGATCATGAAAGAGACGTGTGTCCTTGTATCTGAAGAGGAGGTGAAGGAACAGCTAGTTCAAGGAACACACAAATCTGTTGCGCCAGACTAATAGGTGGTTGGGTCTGAGCTGGGAGACTGCAACAGAATCATTTAGGTTGGAAGAGACCTCCAAGATCACAGAGTCCAACCTCTGGCCTAACACTAACAAGTCCTCCACTAAACCATATCACTAAGCTCTACATCTAAACATCTTTTAAAGACAGCCAGGGATGGTGACTCAACCACTTCCCTGGGCAGCCTATTCCAACACCTAACATCCCTCTCAGTAAAGAAGTTCTTCCTAATATCCAACCTAAGCCTCCCCTGGCACAACTTCAGCCCATTTCCCCTCATCCTGTCACCAGGCACGTGGAAGAATAGACCAACCCCCACCTCACTACTTTGAAATGTGTTCATCTGATTCATGTCAATATGGAACAACGTTAGGGCTGCACGGTATGATGAATGTGACCGTCTGTCTTACATACCCTCATATAACCACAAGTCTAAGAAAAACAGAGTGGTTAATGTATATAGTTCTTGCATCTAGCAAACAAATGTTTTAGCAATTCATGTCAATAGAGAGCTTGAAGGGAAATATATTTGTAGGCTTTTCCTTGAAGTCTCTGATATCTGGGGGGGGGGGGGGGGGGGGGGGAATCAGAATAACTGCTAACTATTATGACTACTGCATGGGACACCTATGCAAGTCTCTGATATCTGGCCAGAAGATTAAGGAGAAGGGGAAAGCTGAAGAATGACTAAAAGACAAAGCTTGCAGGGGATGCTGTGCAAGTCTCTGACATACAGCCAAGTTAGACAAATGAGAAGGACAAGAGAGAGGAAGACTATGAGCCTTCAGCACAAGAGACCCCCAGAGGCACCACCAGAGACTGATACGCATGCTCCAGTAGGAGGGTTTGGATTCAGGAAACTAATTATAATAACCCTGTATTTTTTAGAAGTAGTAATGAATATGTATTAGCCTAGGAGCATAAAAATCAGCTGCTTGATGTAACTGGTGTGCTTCTTGGTGAGGCAGAGACTCCCAGCGCACCCAGTGCTGTTTGCTTATCTCTATTCCTTTAATAAATCATAAACTTTGATTATAGTCCTATTTTGAAGACTGAGACATTTATTACACTACAGCCTCCTTTAAGGTGCCTGTAGAGTGCAATAAGGATGCCTCTGAGCCTTCTCTTTTCCAGGCCGAACAATCCCAGCTCCCTCAGCTGCTCCTCATAAGACTTTTTCTCCAGACCCCTCACCAGCTTCATTGACCTTCTCTGGACTTGCTCGAGCACCTCCATGTCCTTCTTGTAGCGAGGGGCCCAAAACTGAACACAGTACTCGAGGTGCAGCCTCACCAGAGCCGACTACAGGGGGACAATCACTTCCCTAGTCCTGCTGGCCACCCTGCTTCTTATGCAAGCCAGGATGCTGTTGGCCTTCTTGGCCACCTCAGCGCACTGCTGGCTCATATTCAGCTGTCTATCAACCAATGCTCCCAGGTCCTTCTCTGCCAGGCAGCTTTCTAAACACTTAACCATCTTCAGACTTCCAGATCTAGAGGAACAGTTTGGCTGCAGCCTAAAAGCCACGTGTACAGAAGCTCCCCCAAGCCAGCCAATCTTCTCCCCGTGACCTGCCAGAAAACAGCTGTCCTGGTTTCAGCTAGGATAGAGTTAATTTTCCTCCTAGGGTGCTATGTTGTGGATTAGGATGAACACGCCGATGTTTTAATTGTTGCAGAGCAGTGTTTACACTAAGCCAAGGACGTTTCAGCTTCTCACTCTGTCCTGCCAGCGGGCAGGCTAGGGGTGCAGCAGGAGCCAGGAGGGGACAGACCCAGGACAAGTGACCCAAAGTGGCCAAAGGAGCATTCTGTACCATATGGGGTCACGCTGAGCAATATATAGGGGTGGCTAGCCGGGGTGGGGGGTCGGCTGCTCGGGATTAGGCTGGGCACTGGTCAGTGGGTGGTGAGTAATTGTGTTTTGCATCACTTATTAAACTGTCTCAACCCACAGGCTTCGTTTTCCTATTTCTCTCCCACATCCCAGAGAGGGAGGGGTGAGGGCGAGCGAACAGCTGTGTGGTGCTTAGCTGCTGGCCGGGGGAAACCACGACAACAGCAATGTAGTCATGTAACCAAATTAAAGCCAAAACTTTCATCCCGGTCCTTGACCTGAATAGGGAGTGAGGATTCGGATCCTGGCATTTATACGTGACAGTTTATAAGCAGCCAAAGTAAATACTGCAGTCAGAGGTCATGGCGCTAGATTTTGAAAAGTCCTGCATAAAGAAGAGATCTCAGAAAAGCAAATTTAAACAATGTTAACTTCAAGACAAGTCTTTCTGATTGCTATATTCTTTATCTGTCGTGACTAGACAGATGAAAATCTATGACGGCAATTTTGCCATTTAGGTAATTTTCTTTTCTTTTTTTTTGCTATTTATTTCTTTTATTTATGTTTATTTATCTTATTTTAACAGGCTTTGTACTATAAATATAACCCTTACGTGCCTTTTGTATTTAATTCATTAGGTCAACTCTAACCACTAAGCCCCTTGTCAGGTTATTTCTATTAACGATAAGGAGCAATTGAACCTAAAACATTGAAACCAGGTTGATGAGCCTATTCCTCGAGGTCTCTTGGCTCTGCACATGTGAAGTGAAATCTGCCAGGTAGGGATCATTTGACCTTTGCTACATAGGAAGCATGAGGACTTATGGGAGGAATTGCCTCCCCAGGGGAGTTTGAGGCTCAGGTTACCTAGGATGTTTTCACACCACGCAAGTCAAAAGCCTTACTAGAAGTTATGGTTTCAAGGATATAACTTGAGAGAAAGAAATTATTGTTGGTCATCTCCCCCTGACCCCTCCATAGAGCGGCTCCCTGAAGAAAAAGCATGAAAGGTGTCATTGTTAAGAGTTTCTGAGGTAGGGTTAGGGGAAGATGTGTTTTCCCACGTGTTCACTCTCCCTTTCTTCTCCAGGCAAGTTACGGTAGCTTTCCAAAGCTTCTACTGTGCTTGGGATGTTCAGACGAGCTTGTTCTTCTTGGTATGTCTCCTGAATGCACTTGAGGTTTTGTCGAAGGTTAAAAATTCCTGAAGAGGGTCAGCCAGAGATGGGTCATGAGGCAGGACAGATATGTGTTGTGGGGAGAGTGGGAGGATGCTGGATCCCCAGTCCTGGGGGAATGGAGAGAAGAAAATTTTTCTTCTTTAAGTTGCTGGAAGTTTGTGCTGCTGTAGGGTTTTCACACCATTTGACCTAGCTGCAGGGAACCCAGGTGACTCAATGGCCTAAAAACATTTATGAAAGTCTGCCCTTGCACTTCAGGCTTCCTCAAAATAATATTAAATATTAAATTATCAAAAGAGATCTCTGCAAAAACAGAGTTCTCCCTCCTCCCCCTAGATGTTGTCAGGCCTGTTTGTAGCCTCTCTTCTAACCTATCTTGACCTCTTCAGGTGGCTTTCTGCAGCCGCTCTGAGTCTGTAGAATAAAATAATACCTATTCCCACTTCAACACGGGTTAGTCATTGAATATGTATGTGTGAATGTGTATGTATCTCTCTTGGGTACAGCAGCAAAACACAACCTTGAGTGTTTGTTTGCCAGTGATGTCTGCATGCTGAAAACTGAAAGTTCCTACTACATTCATTAAAATACATGTTTTGGGCTGAGGGCATCATTAGCAGCTTTGTATTGCTCATGGCCATTCACCACCATACGGTGTGTCAGCAGGGATCACGTTAATGATCTGGAACAGCATCATGAGCAGGGCACTCACAGGGATATCACGCATCCCAGGAAAGGTTTTGGGGAAGACTTGCTTAAAAAGGAAACACTGCTGCAGCAGGACTCCTTGAATTTTGATAAAAAAAAATTATAAACAGATTTCTGAAACATATATTTACTTTAGAATACCCACTACTGTGATGTTGTATATTAAACGCTTACTTTTATTAGCATAGCAATTATGTAGGAGCTCCTTACCTTAAAGTCCTACTTCTCAATATTTTATACTTGATAGAAAATGTCATTCAGTGTTCATTCAGATAAGCTTTATATAGACTAGATTACTTTGCTTCCAGAGGTCTAGTATGGGTGGTGGATGAAGAAGTTGCAGATTTCATTGTGGCTGTTTATAATTCAGGGCTCCTATGAGGAGCCTCAGCAATCAAAACTAATATTTCCCTGTCTTCAGATGTGTAGAACACTAATTAAAATTATTTGGTATATTAAAAGCAGGGATGGGGAGAGAGGAACAGTGCCAGGGAAAAGTCTATTCATTTTTTCCCCCCTTTATTCTTTTTCCCCAAGTAAAACTTTACTAAATAAATTAATAAATCCAAGGTATTTTCACTTTAAACGTACATCTTCTACCTTTCATGGGATTTTTTTTTCCTGCTTACTAACAGTAGAATCTTTTCTATCCATCAGTTCATTATTTCTGGCCTTCTGAAAGAAAATTTCAATTGCAATTTCCATACACACACTAACAAACAAACGTACACACAAAATAACACACTTCTGGAGATTATTTATTGATTTGAGATTATTAATTCTTCTTTTTCCCAAAAAGTAAGTCTTAAAAATAACAATTATCTTGATTTTCAGCAGGAGATAATTAACTATTTCTGACTAATTTTCTGTAACAGCAAAACTCATCAAATTCATACTTCTGTTGATTGGAAACTGGACTGTGAAACACATGAGAGGCAGAGCTTCCCTCTTCCAACCTTTCAGTTGGCCAGAAATAATCTCCCAGATTTTTCTGTCCTTGTCTCCATCCAAGCACTAATGTGAAATGGTGAATGGGCAAATAACGAAGCAAAT